CCTAAACCCTAAACCCCCTAAATGCCGAAGGGTAGGAAAGCAAGCCCAGGAAGGCCGAGGCGAGGCGGCCCGGCGTCGTTTCACGGGCCAGGCCGTCCTCAAGGCCAGGAACTCCCAAAGAAAAGCGCAAGGTTTAGGGTTTAGGGTTTAGGGTTTATAGGGCTTATAGGGTTTATAGGGTTTATAGGGTTTATAGGGTTTATAGGGGTTTAGGGTTTAGGGGTTTAGGGCCTCAGTGCTTCAGAGCCTTTTGAGGTTGATGGGTTTTACGTTTTTGGGTTTATTTTTGAGGTCGTTCGTGCGGGTTTATGATTTTTGGGGGTTTCGGCGTTCGGGAGTCAAGGCTTTATGGACTAAAGAAGTTCAAGGTTTACGTAGAGCGTTGTGGGCCCAGGGCCCCACAGGATGGGTGTGAAGGGTGTCGAGTTCACCTTTGCTTGTTTGGAGCTTCGGGCTCAGGGTTCATCCGGACCCTATAAAATACAACGCCAGCCCCAAACCTTCGCACTTCGCGGTCCCTGCACGCGTCCAGCTTTTCCATATGGGCTTCTTGCAACTGGTAGGTAGTGCTTCAGGGCTGTAGGGCCCATAGCTGAAGGATTTCAAGGGTTTCAGCGGGGTCACAGGCCTCGGCCTGTGCCAGACACCGGAAGGAACCCTGCCATATGCAGAATCCGCTTGCACATGAAGGCGCATATGCTGATAGAAAGGATCCTGCCAGGCCGGTATGAGGCATTTTCAAGTTTGAGTCACGCATGCAGACCTGTAACATACGGCGGAATGCGACACCAATCACAAAATCCCGCACCATGAACTCCCTCGATAAACCGTTTTCTCGGTCCTAGAAGGGAAAATTCCCAGGCCATCCAGGAGCTGTACGCTCCTGGGGGCGGCTCTCGAAGAGCCGCGGATGCTTTTCTCACAGCCACCCGGCTCTTCGATTTCGGGTCGATTGGGGTTTAGGGCTTTGGGATTATAGGCTTCTAGCATCTAGTAGGATTTAGGATGTAGGGATTAGGAGTCAGGTTTTCGGGACAAGCCCCTACACAAAGCCCGTTTCTAGGATAAGGCCTGAGTCCATGGTGAGATTCGACTTGACAGCCTTCGTGTGGCGGTCGTTGACGTTGTAGGAAGGGCTTAGGCTTCAGATTGTGGGGGTTGGCCAGCAGAAGGATGTTGCTGGGCATAGCATCTCACGGTTCACGCCCGAGATGTTTGATTCGAGTTGATTTGTGGTAGCACCAGCAGTGGATTCCGGCAAGGCTACCTGCTTATGAATCTTGACCTCGTCTGACCCTCCCTCCCAACGCCCAAGCCCCGTTCCAGCTTGGTACCGAGTTTGTACACCCATGCCTGCATTGCGCCAGGAATTCGGCAAGAGCGATGATGTGGTGCTCCCTGCTGCGTGGCTGCAAGGATTTGTTAGAGCTCTTAGGGGTGTACATCGGCTCTTGGTTCAAGCCCGGCCTTGGTCTAATTTTGGTGTTCAGGCTTTGCGGTTTCGGAGGCTTTATCTGGAGTTCCTCCAGGACTGGGTCGATTCTACGGGTGCCTTGTCTTCAACGTCTGGATCACCACGGGCTTAAATTGAGTCACATGCCCACGTTTCATAATTCGACAGACCGGAACGCAGGTCTTAATCTACATGGAGCGAATATACCTGCCCGAATCTTAAGTGCGGAACTCGACACCATAAACTTAGTCTTCACACTGAAGCTGCAGTTCTTTGGAGTTTAAACATTCGGAATGGACAGTTGAAAAGAAGTTTAACAAGTAACAGGACGACGGCTAGAAGTACCTCAATACCTACCAGTGCATCATGTATGACCCTAATTGTGGCTACCTGTGCGCCGTTCAGCAAATCCTCAGCACTGCAATCTCAAAACATTCATTCCCAAAGGCCCTAACAGACCCAAACCTAAAAGGCCCGGAGTGCTAGCTTGCGGCGAAGGGAAATACCAGACCACCAAACCCTACTCTGACTACTTGGGTCCCCCAAACCCTAAACCCTAAACCCTAAACCCCATACAAGTCTGAAGCAACCCCAAAACGCCCTCCACCACCCGAAAACCTTTTCGAACCACCAAGGCCCCTGTATGTTCAGCCAGAGGTGAGCTTCGAGTTGCTCCGTGGCCACCTATCGGGACAGACGCTGCCGGCTTCCTGGCTCCAAGGTTTAGGAGGTATAGGGGTTTGAGGGTTGCTAGAAGCATTGATTTCCCGGTTACCATATTATGATAGCCGGTAATATGTCTTGATCAGGCTTGTGCCAGGGTTCCTATAAGGCTTCCTTGACGTGTTCTGGGTCTAGGGGCTTACTGTTTCTGGAGAGTTTTGAGGATTTACGATGAACTCCAACGGGCAGGATCATGATGTTTCAGTTTTCTGGTTTCCACTGTGGAGGTTAAGGGGCTTAGGCTTTGCCCTGGGCCAGCGAGCCTACGGTCTGCCTTTCAGGGGGGGGGGTGATGGAAAGCCTACAAGCTTTGGAGAGCGGGCAAATTCCTCCAAAAGGTGGCGCGCGCGCGCGGTAGAACCCTGACTGCAGACCACCAGCTCCCTGCGTTCTTTGGAGTCATGGTGCGGCCGGGCAGGCTTGAGGGCTTTAAGAACTCGCCGATGCTCGATATGCTAACAGCGCGGCTCTTCCCAGGAATCCCTTGATTTTCTAAACAGGCTCACTCCTCTGATTCATACAAACAGCCCTCTGAAGCACAGCGGCATCAGCAGGGTCCGGAAAACACTCTTGATTCGTCCCAAACTCAAGACATGAGGACTACCGCCTACCCGAGCACTTCAAGCCCTGAACCCTGGAACCCTGAAGCTTTAAGCAGCCTATAGTATAACTCGCAATCAGCCCGAAACTGCCCTAAAGCCCCAAAGTCTTAAAGCCCT